AGGTGGCAGTCAGAAAGTCCGGTGACCCCTTTGCTTGACAGTCAGTACTTATGATGTGCTTTATGATCATTGCTATTGGATACACAGGTTGAACTTTTAACTTATAAAAGAATTTTCACCTCGAATATGATTTCACATTAGTCCCGTAAGATAAGCAGAGTGGGCATTACTCAGACCCGTTGAAAGAGGAAACCAAAATTCAAAGACGTTGAAATGAGTCACTTAGTGTAAAATGAAAAATGCAGGCCCCTTGCTAAAAATTATTAAGAATTTCAAGACAGTGACAGCAGAGCATTCGACCAAGCACAGGGCCCTGTGCAACCGCCCCTGGCACCCAGCCTGGCACCCAGCCCCGGGCAAACCACCCTGGCCCCTCCTGATCTGACTGCAACCCCACAGCACATCGGGTGGTGTCCTCCTGCAGCTGAGACAAATGAAGAGCTGGGTCACAAGGGAGCTGACCCCAGGCTCCGCAGAGATGGAGGGCAAGTCCCAGAGAACCTCGTCACACCGAAACAGACAATAGCCTGAGTTCGCCCACCTGTGGCACACCCAGATGCCACCCCGACCTGGAGCGGGCAGGTCACGGGCAACCCTGGACATGCCTCTCCAAGCAAAGCAGCAGGTTGAGGGGAGCGAGCGCAGAAAGTACCTGTGAGCACTTGGGGAAAGAACGTGGGGACATCTTGGTCCTGACCTCAGGACCTCAGGAAGCCCGGCTAGCTGTCTGAGGAAATTCTGCTGCTGCTCCACACCCAGTGACAGGTCAGCAAAGTCACCACCCACTGCGGGGAGTTAGCTTAGTGAAAGGCTCCACTGGTTTTAAAAAAGAGGGGTGTGGGCAAGCGTGTATTTTAAATGTCTGGAGGAAAGGCAGCAGCTCGAAGCATTTTCAAGGCTGTGCATCCTGGATCCAGCCTGGGAGGGGATCCAAGTGGACCCCGCTGCTCTTCCCAGGACTCCGCTGCCTTGCAGGGAGGAGGAGACGAGAAGACCCGGTTCGGAGCAGATCCCCTCAAGCGGGAGGCTCACGCGGCCACGGTCAAGGCCGTGAGCTCACCTGGGCAGCGGACACCAACCGCCGCACTGCACGCAGCGGCCGCCGGCTGCAGGTAGAGGATACACGTGGACTCACCTGCCAGTGCTCCCCCGAAAGTTCAAACACAAACGCGCTGCTCCGTTTGTCTCTCTCCTTGGAAAGTGGACTCTGCTTTAGGAGAGAATTCCTTTCGATCTTTTCCAGAAGCCTCGCGCTCGTGTCTACGAAGCCATTCTTACAGTACACGGCCTGGGGGACGCCTTTCTTTCTGCACTCCGCCACGAAGTCCCACTCCTGCTTTATCCTAGAACGCCCAGCAGAGGCCGCAGTTACTGTCCGGGTCATCGCCATCCCCCGCCTGGAGAAGGCCGCCTGGGTGCGGGCTTGGGTGCGGGCTTGGGTGCGGTCCTTCGCGCGGACCGCGATTTACCGCGCCCCCCACTTTCGCCCAGCTCCCCTTTCTTATTTCCTCCGCGGTGAGGAATGTAGAAGAAACCCTTAAACCCCGAGAGTTGTGAAATATTAGCAACTTGACTAAAAAAGTAGAGGAGGCGAGTCGAAAGGAATTCCCGGCCAAATTTCCTCCCCGGATTACCTGTGCATTTGACTAATTACAATTTCCTTGGGTAGCATGTGGTGCCAACCCAAGTTTTTTGAAAATGCAAGGCCACGAGAATTCGCCGATCTTTCAAGAACGTTTGGGTAGGTATGTGTAGGCAGCCCCAGTTTATGAAATACCCGACTTTAGAAGGTCATCCATCAGCCACCTTGGGAAATTTCACCTCCGTAGGTGAACCTGGTATTCGTGACTCCAGGTCCACTCAGACACCGGAGCTGGCTCAGGACCCTTCGCCTCTCAGTCCCTTCTTGTTGCTAATTTTCTGACCTATCATTTCATAATTTTCCACATTTGTTCCTCATCCCCCCCAACTTGATCATGAGCTTGATGATGACTATGGACCACGTTTTGCTGCCCCTGGATGCCAATTAAGTCGTCGGAACAGTGTTTAGCACGTGATGGGCT